TGAGGGAGCGCCGCACTGTCGGAGGGTCAGTGCTGAGGGAGCGCCACACTGTCGGAGGGTCAGTGCTGAGGGAGCACTGCACCCCCTGATGACAGAAAAATGAAAATGTTCAAATTGAAGTGAACATTTGAGGTTATTGGCCATTTTTGCCAGGGACTGAGCAGTCACCCATGAGCTCACACCTCATCCCCGAGAGTGGCTGTAACAAGGTCAGTCAGGTGGGCCTCATAGAATATGAGTTCCCTGATTGGGGGCTGTTACTCAGGTCCAATCAGGGAACCCTGGCTGACAGACATAAGCAGGAGTGAAACAGATTCTGTTCACTCTGAGAGCTGGCTCTGAGGGAGCTGGATCAGTGACAAGGGCTCTCCTTGTGTAAATAAAGGGTGACTATGTGATGGGATACCGGCGCCTGTGGAGTTGTTTCAAACACCCCTCCCCCCTCCCTGATACCCCCCTGCCCAGGAAACCTGTGGGGACAGACAGAAGTGAAGGTGAGAGGGACCTACCTGCTCTCTTCCCCCTCCAGCAGCTTCCTGTAGGTGGCAATCTCTACATCCAAGGCCATCTTGACGTTGAGCAGATCCTGGTATTCCCGAAGGTGCCGTGCCATCTCGTCCTTCAAGTGGCGAATCTCCTCCTCCAGGCGTGTGATGGTGTCGGTGTAGCCACCTGCTTCGCCAGCAAACCTCTCCTCCATCTCCCGCATCTGCCGCATCAGGGACTCGTTCTGCCAAGACAGCTCCGAGTGAGAGCTCTGTACTACCCACACCCAGCTCCGGTTCCCTGCTGATACTACAGTGACACCCAGCTTGGCCCAAAACCCGAGAGAAATAAACAGCAGGCTCTAACAGCAGCCTCGAGCGCTCCTGAAGTCAAAAACATCGACAATAGGAGCAGGAGTAGCTCATTTGACCCTTCAAAGCCCGTTCCAAATCATTACGATCGCCTGAAGGTTACAGAGATTGAGTGGGTAACGATCTGGGAAATAGAGTGCAGCTTTCGAAAGTGGGAACTTGTCTCTTTTAGCAGAAAGATTAAAAAGGATGAAGCAAATTATCTAAACAGTGAGAGGTTGCAGAGGAATCTGGGTGTCCTGGTGCATGTATCGGAGAAGGGGAGTCTGCAGGTACAGCAAGTAATCAGGAAAACTCATAGAATGTAATGTTTTATTGTGAGGGAAATTGAATGCACGAGCAAGGAGGTGATGCTTCAGATATTCAGGTCATTGGTGAGACTGGATCTGGAGTACTGTGTACAGAGCTAGTCAGTGCATTTACAGAAGTTAATACATCGGAAGCAATTCAGAGAAGGTTCGCCAGACTAATCCCTGAAAGGAGCAGATTACTTTATGAGGAAAAGCCAGACAGGCTCGGCCTGTATCCTCTGGGGTTTAGAAAAATATAGGATCCTGAGGGGACTTGATCGGGCGGATATGGGAAGGACATTTCCCCCCTGTGGGGCAATTTAGAATTAGGGTCATAGTTTAAAAACAAGGATTCGCCTATTTCGGACAGAGATGAGGAAACTTTTTTTTCCCCTCAGAGGGATGTGAGTCTTTGAAATTCACTTCCTCAAAAGGCAGTGGATGCAGAATCTTTAATCATAGAATCCCTACAGAGTGGATATAGGCAATTCGGCCCAACAAGTCAGCACTGCCCCTCCGAACAACATTCCACCCAGACCCATCCCCCTACCTTTCTCTGTAACCCTGCATTTCCACATGTCTAATCCACCTAATTTATACACCCCTGGACATTATAGGGCACATAGCATGGCCAATCCACCCTACCCTGTACATCTTTGGACTGTGGGAAGAAACTGGAGCACCCGAAGGAAACCCATGCAGACACAGGGAGAATGTGCAAACTCCACACAGACAGTTGCCCGAGGGTGGAATTGAACCCGGGTCCCTGGTGCTGTGAGGCAGCAGTGCTAACCACTGAGCCATCATGCTGCCCAATATTTATAAGGCAGAGGTCAATAGATTTTTGATGACCAAGGGGGTGAAAGGTTATCGGCTATGTGCACGAATGTAGAGTTAGCGCAGATCTTATTGACTGGTGTAGCAGATTCAAAGGGCCAAGTGGCCTACTCCTGTTCCTGGTTCATGTGATTGTATCCAAATCAGTTCCCACTTGCCCCTCCCCTCAATACCTTTCGATCCCTTTATCCCGACGAACTGTATCTAACTCCTTCTTGTAAATATCTAAAGGTTTGGCCTCAACCGCTTTCTGTGACTGAGAATTCCACAGGCTCAACACTCTCTGGGTGATGACATTTCTCCTCATCCCAGAGACAGTAAGAACTGCTAATGTTGGAGTCAGAGATAACACAGGGTGGAGCTGGAGGAACACAGCAGGCCAGGCAGCACCAGAGGGGCAGGAAAGCTGACGTTTCGACTCTTCATTGCCCCAATACAAGTTCCCAGTCTCCAAAAAAGCCTGGTGGACAGTGTTATAATCTAACTGAGTCTGATTAACAGGATACCTATTCATTGGGTATTAACTGAGTGTTGAAATGCATTCAGGTATACAGCATAAACTGGGGATTTACCACACTCAGGAACTCAGCTAAAAACCAAAAGAACTGTGGATACTGTAAACCAGGAACAAAAACAGAAGTTTCTGGAAAAGCTCAGCAGGTCTGGCAGCATCTGTGAAGAGAGGAAGGGTTCTGAGGAAGGGTCACTGGGCCCAAAACACTAACTCTGGTTTTCTCCTTCACAGATGCTGCCAGACCTGCTGAGCTTTTCCTGCAACTTCTGTTTTTCTCAAGGAACTCAGCTGTTGAGTTCGGAGATGCATGCTTGCAATGTGAATCTCTGCAAATAAAAACTTAGCAAATATGAAAAGATTGGCTCCAGATCTATCCTTCAAGCCTGGAATCCTACAATTTTGTACATGATGTAACGTGTGTCATTTCATTAAGATCTGGGCTGTGACCTTTACAGCATGGAAAGAGGCCATTTGGTCCATCTAGTCTATGCTGTGTTTCGGCTCCATTGACTCTACTCCTTCAATCTAATCTTTTCCTTCCCCTCATGCATCACATAGCTTCCATTTAACTTTCTTTTTAAATATATGCATGCTGCTTGCTACCAGCACTCCCTGCGTAGGTAAATCCCACATCTTATTCCTGAATTCCTTCGGAATATAATGGCACAGCAAGGAGAAACAACTTCTTCACCTCTCCCCAAACAACCTTTCTTTTTATCATTTTAATAATATATACATCAGGTCACCTAACATACAACTGGACAGGTGATGGCTAGAGGTATGGACTGTTAGTCCAGAGACCCAGATAATGCCCTGGGGACCCAGGTTCGAATCCCGCCACGGCACATGGTGGAATGTGAATTCAATAAAATATCTGGTATTAAGAATCTAATGATGACCGTGAGTCCATTGTCGATTGTCAGGAAAACCTCATCTGGTTCACTAATGCCCTTTAGGGAAGGAAACTGCCATCCTTACCTGGTCTGGCCTACATGTGACTCCAGGCCCACAACAATGTGATTGACTCTGAACTGCCCTCTGGGTAATTAGGGATGGGCAATAAATGCTGCCTGGTCAGCAACGCCCTCATCCCGTGAATGAATTTTAAAAAACCCTCATCTGTTTGATTTCCTGAGCGATGGAATCCCTCAGTTCCGCTGCCATCTTTGCCAACGGCTGTGTACCTTTCCCACTGACTGTGTGGAAATACGAGAAGCAGAAGGTGATCCAAAAGCCCACAAGATTTTGTGATTACTGCTGAGGAAATTGTGGGAGGGTGTCATTAACCCTTAAATAAAAACCAAAAGAACTGCGGATGCTGTGAATCAGGAACAAAAACCAAGTTGCTGGAAAAGCTCAGCAGGTCTGGCAGCATCTGTGAAGGAGAAAACAGAGTTACTGCAGTTCCGAGGAAGGGTCACCGGACCCGAAATGTTAACTCTGTTTTCTCCTTCACAGATGCTGCCAGACCCGCTGAGCTTTTCCAGCAACTTTGTTTTTGTCATTAACCCTTTACTGGTGCTTCGTTTGGTTGTACTCTCACTCCAGAGAGTGGAAGGCATGAAGGACTGGAGTTTAGAATCCAGAGTGAGTACCAGTGGGGGAGTGCTGCCCTGCCAGGGGCATCACTGTCTTTTGGATAAGACACTACACCGAAGCCATCTGCTGGGATGGCACAGGTTCGAAGAGTAACAGATGATCTCTCCTCAGTGACCTCAATAATATTGGCTTCTCCTTTAAACAGGGCCACCAAGGGCAGAATGCCTGGTTGTTGACACATTGTTGTCAGTGAAGGCTTAAATCACAGAGGTCTACACAGTACAGAGAACCGCCATTCAGCCCATCAAGTTTGTGCTGGTCAAAAACAACCACCTAACTACTCTAATCTCATTTTCTAGCACTTGGCCATAGCTTTGTATACCTTGGCATCACAAGCGTACATCAAAACATTGCTTCGATGTTATGAGGGTTTCTGCCTCTCCCACTCTTACAGGCAGCGAGTTCCAGATCCCCCCCCACCACCCTCTGTGTGTGAAACAGTTTTCCTCACATCCTCTCTTAACCTCCTGCCCCTTACCTTAAATCTTCGCTCCCTGGTCATTGATCTCTCTACCAAGGGGAAAAGTTCCTTTCTGTTTACTCTATTAGTGCCCCTCATAATGTTATCCATCTCAACCATGTTCCCCCACCCCAACCCCCCGATCTCCTCTGCTCCAATGAAAATGACCCCCCAAGTCCGTCCCAATCTCCTTACACCCCTCACCCACCCTATCTTCCACGTAAAAACCAACAATTTTCTTGCCATCGTCAGTTCTGAGGAAGGGTGTCTAAACCCGAAACGTTAAGTCTGGTTTCTCTCCACAAATGCTGCCGGCCCTGCTGAGCTTTTCTGGCAATCTCTGTTTCTGTTCATTTGGTGTGCTGGACTTTTCCACATTGCAACGGTGCCTACATGAATATAAATAAAGGTAGTTCACTGGCTGTAAACTGCTTTGTGAAGTCCTGATGCCATAAAAGGTGCTATCGAAATGCAAGCGCTTTTTTCATTGACCATGCCACATGGGGATGAAGTCTCAGAGACTCATTAAACACTCACAGTTCCTTTGAGAGCATCGATCTCACAGGTGTAGCTCTGAATCTGGTGACGGTACTCCATCACATCCTGCTTGGCCTGTCTCAAGGCATCGTTGTTTTTGGCTGCACTCTGATTCAAATCAGCGACCTGAAAGAGGAGGAGGTCAGGGGTCATCATAAAGTGTGGAGTAAAGGGTTGACCGTACCTTCACCCTGCTGAGCACGTGCACAAGGAGCTATGTCATTGGTGCTTATAATCGTCCCCGAGCTCACTGCTATAGTTTGGACACGATCAGGGATCACTCCAGTAGATTCACGGTTGCCAGTTGCTGGGATTAATCTGAGTCAGAGGAGGTGGGATCAGTTAACTCAGTTGGCTGGATGGTGTGTTTGTGAGTTTAATTCCCACACCAGCTGAGCTCAACATGAAGGACTCTCCTTCTGAACCTCCTCCCCTTGCTCAAGGCATCTCACACACACACTCTGTCTCCATCTCTCTCTCTCTCACACACACACACACTCTGTCTCCATCTGTCTCTCTCTCTCACACACACACACACACACACACACTCTGTCTCCATCTCTCTCTCTCTCACACACACACACATGCACGCACACACAGACTCTCTCTCCATCTCACACACACATTCTGTCTCCATCTCTCTCTCTCTCACACACACACACACACGCACACGCACGCACACACACACACAATTTCTGTGCGTGAAACACAGAAAGCTAGCACACAGGGGCGGCAGGGAATCAGGAAGGGTAATGGAATGTTGGCCCTTATTTCAAGGGGGTTGGAGTATAAGGGTAGGGTAGTCTTACTGGAACTGTACAAGGTGCTGGGGAGACCACATCTGGAGCACTGTGAGCTGTTTTATCCCTTTATTTAAGAAAAGATATTATTTCATTGGAGGCAGTTCAGAGAAAGTTCATTAGGATGATCCCCAGTGTGAAAGGATTTCTGTTATGAGCAAAGGCTAAACAGGTCGGGAATCTGATCCCTGGGGTTCAGGAGAATGAGAGGTGACCTCATTGAAACATTTAGGATTCTTAATGGGTTTGACAGGGTAAATGCTGAGAGGATGTTTTCCCCTCATGGGAGAGTCTAGGACCAGAGGGTATAGTCTCAGAATGAAGAGGCACCAATTTAAGACTGGTCAGAAATCACACACCACAACAAGCCTGTGTTTTCAAATATACCTGTTGTACTATAACCTGGTGTTGTGTAGTTTCTGATCTTGCCCGCCCCAGTCCAACACCAGCACCTCCACAATTTGAGACCGAGATGAGGAGGAATTTAATTAATTTTTAATTTTTGAAGAGGTGGCCAGGAAGATAGGTGAAGGCAGAGCGGTTGACATTGTCTACATAAACTTTAGCAACGCCTTCAAAAAGGTACTGCATTGTAGATCCCTTAGGGGTGGGGTAGTGGGGGGTCACGGTGGCTCAGTGGTTAGCACCCGCTGTCTCACAGACCTGGGTTTAATGCCAGCCTTGGGGAACAGTCTGTGCTGAGATTGCACATTGTCTGTGTGGGTTTCCTCCCACAGCCCAAAGATGTGCAAGTTAGGTGGATTGGCTGTGGGAAATGTGGGGACAAAGGGATAGGGCTAGGGCTGGGGCTAGGGCTAGGACTGGGATCTTCTTCAGAGGGATGGCCCAGATCTAGGGGGCTGAATGGCCTCGTTATGCACTACAGGGATTCTATGTTTCTAAACTCTTCTCTCAGAGGGTGGTGAGTCTTTGGAACTCCTTGCCATAGAGAGCTGTGGGGCGCAGAGCCTTTATGTATATATATTTAAGGCTGAGATAGATTTTTGTTCAGTTGGGGAATCAAGGTTTACGGGGAAAGGGCAGGAAAGTGGATATGAGGAATATCGGATCAGCCATGATCCTATTGAATGGCACAGCAGGCTCGAGGGGCCGAATGGCCCATTCCTGCTCCGATATTTGGAGATTTCCCTTCAAAGCCCTTCAGAAGATAATGTTGGGGATGTTCAGGGACTACTAGCAGTGATTTGTTAAAATTGAATGGCCTGTTAGTCATAGATCATAAGACCATAAGATGTTAGAGCAGAAGTAGGCCATTCAGCCCATCGATTCTGCTCCACCATTCAATGAGATCATATTTGCTCTGTTAATCCTCAACACCACTTTCTTGCCTTTCCCCCATGAAGCTTGATTCCCTTCCTGATAGAAAATCTGTCTATTTCAGCCTTGAATATACTGAACGATGATAAAGAGTCCAACAGATTAACAATTCTCTGAGAGAAGACATTTCTCCTCATTTCTGTCTGCAAAGAGTGAGCCTTTATTCTGAGATTATACCGTCTGCTCAGGGCACAGTCTCTCTGCGTCCAGCCTGTCAGAGCCCTCTGAGAAGCTTAGCCCAGGTTATACCATGCCTCTGGAGCAGGTTGGAGTTGAACCCAGGCCTACTAGCTCAGAGGGAGTGACATTACCACTGCACAACACAAACCTTACAAAGCCTGCATTCTCAAATTAAACCTGAAGCCCTGCCTGTTGAGTTAACAAGCAGGAAATTGTTGGCATCCACCCGCTATGCCAAGTGGGCACAGTATGCTTTGAGTTCGTTTTTCCATTCCATTTGGCTGTTAGATCCACACACGCCCCTCCCCACATTGCACCCAAAGGCCCCTGCACCCGTCACTGGGTAAGTAATGGAGAGAACTGGTCACCAACCTTTGACTTGTACCATTCTTCAGCCTCCTGGACATTCTTGGCTGAAATGGACTCGTACTGTGCTCGGATATCGCGCAGAGCAGCGGTGAGGTCAGGCTTCGACAGGTCCATTTCAACTTGGACTTGCTGTTCCTGGAGCTGAGCCTGCAGCTCCCGCAGTTCCTTCAAACAAAGGAAGACAAAAAAAACATACAAAAGACAATCATTTTGTTGGATCACCCGTGGCATTGCTCCGTTCAAGTGGAAACTCTGTGAACCGGCCCCAGAAGTGAGTGAGAGGGCACTGAACACCATTCCAAGTGCCAGTGTTCCCATGTCCCATTGACATGGTTAAAGGGTCAAAATGCAGGACATTTTTCTGTGGAACATAATTTTCTAAAGAGAAAGGAGACCCTTCCAGCAGTCCTGGAAATTCAATATTTAGGGTGGCATGGTGGCTCAGTGATTAGCACTGCTGCCTCACAGCACCAGGGACCCAGGTTCAATCCCACACTCAGGTGACTGTCTGTGTGGAGTTTGCACATTCTCCCCGTGTCTGCGTGGGTTTCGTCTGGGTGCTCTGGTTTCCTCCCACAGTCCAAAGGAGGTTAGGAGGATTGGCCATGCTGAATTGCCCCATAGTGTTCAGGGGTGTGTAGATTAGGTGGGTTATAAGGGGATGGGTCTGGGTGGGATGGTCTGAGGGTCGGTGTGGAATTGTTGGGCTGAAGGGCCTGTTTGCACACTGTAGGGATTCTATGTTCTGTAATATATTTTACTTTCCTACATGAAGACACAACAAGGACACCTTAAAGTAAATCTCATAACCATTGTCCCTGTCCTGGGAGTTTTTGATGGGGACATTGTAGAGGGAGCTTACTCCGTATCTAACCCCGTGCTGTACCTGTCCTAGGAGTGTTTGATGGGGACAGTGTAGAGGAAGCTTTACTCTGTATCTAACCCCGTGCTGTCCCTGTCCCTGGGAGTGTTTGATGGGGAGATAATGTAGAGGAAGCTTTACTCTGTATCTAACCCCGTGCTGTCCCTGTCCCTGGGAGTGTTTGATGGGGGACAGTTACAGGGAGCTTTACTCTGTATCTAACCCCGTGCTGTCCCTGTCCCTGGGAGTGTTTGATGGGAGCTTGGCCCTGTATCTGGGAAACCGGTTGGAGAATGGAGGAGATTTTGGATGAAGGAGCTTGATGTCGACTCACCTCCTCATGGACCTTCTTGAGGAATGCAATCTCCTCCTGGAGGGCCTCAATCCTTCGCTCCAGATCGAGGCGAGCGAGGGTGGCTGCATCGACATCCTAGAAACAGGAAAAAAACATAGCTCCAGTGATGGTGAATACCCCCGACTGCTCCCTTACACGGTGAGATTCTTCTGACAGCCCTGTGAGGCCTCGAACTATCACACAGGAGAGTGGGACGCCCCTTAAATAAGGGTCCTCTGTGCTGGGCATTAGTGGAGGATACAGATGGCTCAGAGGAATGCTGCATTGCTCAATCCTGATCATACTGAATAATATGCAGCAAAACCCATCTCTCTAGCCCTTTCTTTGTGCTCTTTTATCCAAAATGCAGACCCCCACCCTGCCCCTCACATAGCAGCAGGGTGGTATGGTGACAATGTCAGAGGAGAAGCCACTCCTGAGGCTCCAGGCTAAAGCTCTGGTTCAAATCCCACCCTGGAAGCTGGTGGCAAATTGATTCAGCTCATAAATCTGGAGTTTTCCTTTTCAAGATGGAGTTAGTTATAGTCTTCAGGGCTAAAGAGATGTGGGAAAAAAGGGGGAACGGGGGCTGAGTTAGGTGATCAGCCACGATCGTATGGATACAACTTTATAAATAATTAGCTGGGTCACATTTGGAGTATTGTGTGTGGTTCTGGTCCCTGACAGTATAAGGATGTGGAGGTTTTGGAGAAGGTGCAGAAGAGATTTACCAGGACGTTGCCTGGTTCGGAGTGTGTGAGCTCTAAGGAGAGGTTGGACAAACTTGGGTTGTTTTCGCTAGAGGGTCCGAGGCTGAGGGGGCGACCTGGTAAAGGTATACAAAGTTATGAGAGCGATGGATAGGGTGGATAGTCAGAGTCTTTTTCTCAGGGTGGAAATGTCAAATACTAGGGGGCATAGGTTTAAGGTGAGGGGGGAAAAGGTTAAGAGGGATGTGTGACAGGTGTTTTATACACAGAGGGTGGTGGGGGCCTGGAACACACTGCCAGGGGAGGTGGTAGAAGCAGACAATGACGAGAGTAAGACTGGGGCCGGTCAAGGACAGTAGTGGGAAGTTGTGCGTGGAGTCCGAAGAGATAGGAGAGGTGCTAAATGAATATTTTTTGTCAGTATTCACACAGGAAAAAGACAATGTAGTCGAGGAGAATACTGAGATACAGTCTATTAGAGTAGACGGGATTGAGGTTCATAAGGAGGAGGTGTTAGCAATTCTGGAAGGTGTGAAAATAGATAAGTCCCCTGGGCCGGATGGGATTTATCCTAGGATTCTCTGGGAAGCTAGAGAGGAGATTGCAGAGCCTTTGGCTTTGATCTTTATGTCGTCATTGTCTTCAGGAATAGTGCCAGAAGACTGGAGACTAGCAAATGTTGTCCCCTTGTTCAAGAAGGGGAGTAGAGACAACCCTGGTAATTATAGACCAGTGAGCCTTACTTCGGTTGTGGGTAAAGTGTTGGAAAGGATTATAAGAGATAGGATTTATAATCATCCAGAAAGGAATAATTTGATTAGGGATAGTCAACACGGTTTTGTGAAGGGTAGGTCGTGCCTCACAAACCTTATTGAGTTCTTGGAGAAGGTGACCAAACAGGTAGATGAGGGTAAAGTGGTTGATGTGGTGTATTTGGATTTCAGTAAAGCGTTTGATAAGGTTCCCCATGGTAGGCTATTGCAGAAAATACAGGGGCATGGGATTGAGGGTGATTTAGCAGTTTGGATCAGAAATTGGCTAGCTGTAAGAAGACAGAGGGTGGTGGTTGATGGGAAATGTTCATCCTGGAGTTCAGTTACTAGTGGTGTACCTCAAGGATCTGTTTTGGGGCCACTGCTGTTTGTCATTTTTATAAATGACCTGGATGAGGGCGTAGAAGCATGGGTTAGTAAATTTGCGGATGACACCAAAGTCGGTGGAGTTGTGGATAGTGTGGAAGGATGTTGCAGGTTACAGAGGGACATAGATAAGCTGCAGAGCTGGGCTGAGAGGTGGCAAATGGAGTTTAATGCGGAAAAGTGTGAGGTGATTCACTTTGGAAGGAGTAACAGGAATACAGAGTACTGGGCTAATGGTAAGATTCTTGGTAGTGTGGATGAGCAGAAAGATCTCGGTGTCCATGTGCATAGATCACTGAAAGTTGCCACCCAGGTTGATAGCGTTGTTAAGAAGGCGTACAGTATGTTAGGTTTTATTGGTAGAGGGATTGAGTTTCGGAGCCATGAGGTCATGTTGCAGCTGTACAAAACTCTGGTGCGGCCGAACTTGGAGTATTGCGTACAGTTCTGGTCACCGCATTATAGGAAGGATGTGGAAGCATTGGAAAGGGTGCAGAGGAGATTTACCAGGATGTTGCCTGGTATGGAGGGAAGGTCTTATGAGGAAAGGCTGAGGGTTTTGAGGCTGTTTTCGTTAGAGAGAAGAAGGTTAAGAGGTGACTTGATAGAGACATACAAGATGATCAGAGGATTAGATAGGGTGGACAGTGGGACCCTTTTTCCTCGGATGGTGATGGCTAGCACGAGGGGACATAGCTTTAAATTGAGGGGTGATAGATATAGGACAGATGTCAGAGGTAGGTTCTTTACTCAGAGAGTAGTAAGGGCGTGGAATGCCCTGCCTGCAAAAATAGTAGACTCGCCCACTTTAAGGGCATTTAAATGGTCATTGGATAAACATATGGATGATAATGGAATAGATTAGGTTAGATGGGCTTCAGATTGGTTTCACAGGTCGGTGCAACATCGAGGGCCGAAGGGCCTGTACTGCGCTGTAACGTTCTATGTTCTATGTTCTATGTTCTTTACAATAGCAACGTTTAAGAAACATTTAGACAGACTCAGGAACAGGCAGGGAATAGAAGGATATGGACCATGTGCAGGCGGCTGGGATCAGTTTAGAATGGCACCACGCTCAGCACAGACACGGTGGGCTGAAGGGCCTGTTCCTGCACTGTACTGTTGTATATTCTATGAATGGTGGAGCAGGTTTGAAGGGCTGAATGGCCTACTCCTATCTTCTATGTTTCTGTGAATTGGAAGCAAGTTTCAGTGATGGTGGCTGTGCTCCCCTGAAGGAGTGAACCAGATGGGTTTTTACAACAATGGTACCATGACCATCCTTGGGCTCTTAGCTCCACATTTCTTTTCACTTTGAATTCACCACCTGCCAGGTTCCAACCCAGTCACCAGAACGTTACCTGAGTCAGTAATCTAGAGATAATACCATGAAGCCTCTATTTTGGTCACCCACATCTTCCCAACATTCCCTGCCATTTGGTCAATTGAGCCTCATGATGACCCCTTCCCCCCGCCATTGCCACCATACAGTCAATCAGAAAGAGAACAGGATCTTCGATACCTGATTGGGTGATTCTTTGCCTGTTGAAATCTCTTTTTCATCCCATCGCTCAAACTATTTTACAATCAACAAACTGAAGAGTTGAAAGTAAATTTTTTAAAAAATCATCCTTTTCTTTAAATAAAAACCGAAAGAACTGCGGATGCTGTAAATCAGAAACAAAAACTGAAGTTGCTGGAAAAGCTCAACAGGTCTGGCAGCATCTGTGAAGAAAAGATCAGAGTTAACGGTTCGGGTCCGGTGACCCTTCCTCAGAACCATTAACATACTCAGTATGGCTCTGAGAAAGGGTCACCGGACCTGAAACGTTAACTCTGTTTTTTCCTTCACAGGTGCTGCTGAGCTTTTCCAGCAACTTCCGTTTTTGATCTTTTTTGTTTCAAACTTCCTCCTGGGATTTTTCTGGGACCAGACTTACATGCCGGAAAGCAGCAAGATTATTTTCAGCCTCCTCCTTCAGCTGGATCTCATCTTGTAATCTGTGAGGAAAGATTAAAAGCACAGTGATCTCAATCTGAACCTCACTCTTCATAGACCAACTATTCAGGCTTTTGAATGACTTTCCCTTTCTCCTTTTTTTTCATTATTTATTCACGGGATGAGAGCGCCACTGGCTGGGTAACATTTATGGCCCATTCCTAATTACCCAGAGGGCGGTTAAGAGTCAACCGCATTGCTGTGGGTCTAGAGTCACATGTAGACCAGACCAGGTAAGGATGGCAGTTTCCTTCCCTAAAGGACATTAGTGAACCAGATGGGTATTTCCCGACAATCGGCAATGGATTCATGGTCATCATTAGATCCTTGATTCCAGATATTTTATTGAATTCAAATTCCACCATCTGCCTTGGCAGGATTCGAACCCAGGTCCCTAGAACATTACCTGGGTCTCTGGATTAACATTCCAGTGATAATACCACTAGGCCCTCGCCTCCCCCTAATGATGTAAATCTGGGGGAGGGATCTTCCTGCCCAAGTTCCCCACACTGTCCTGAGCACAGTCAGAACAATCTGACCAAGTGTAGTGATTATAATGAGGTCAGTCAGGTGGACCTCATAGAATATGAGTTCCCTGATTGGGGCTGTTGGCATGGCCCAATCAGGGAGCCCTGGCTAACAGTTAACAACAGGAGTGTCAGACAGTCTGCTCACTCTGAGAGCTGGCTCTGAGGAAGCTGGATCAGTGTCATGTACTATGCATATGTAAATAAAGGCTGGCTTGGTGATGGGATACTGGCCTCTTGGAGTTACTTCACCAAGAATTTCTCCTTTTTCATCTTGTCGTAGATTCCTTGTCTTAAGCCTCACTCCTGTTTTTTTTTTTCTTGACCCTTGCCCTATCCTTTATTCCTTGGTCATCACTCTGTGAGGTCTCTATCCCTTGTCCTACAGGCCTCATCATCCAAGGCTCAACCCTATCCCTTGCTCTCACTATATTGCTTAACTGCCACAGGCAGCACCATCTCCCTTGCCCTAGGCCTCAACATCCCAGACATCAAATCTCTGCCCCTTATCCCAGGCCTTACTCCACTGCCAACTGCCCTCTAGGCCTCAACATATCCCTTCCCCCTAATACTCGCCCTATCCCTAATTTTCTACAGGCCTCACCATCCTAGGCCTCACCTTGTCCTTTGCTCTAGGCCTTATCCTTGGCTTCACCTTGTGGCTGGATTTAGGTTTTGCCTTCCTTTATGCCAGGCCTCACCCTCTATCTTAACTGCCCTAGACATCAGTCCTTGCCCTGGGCCTTATCTCTTCCTATGTCTGAGGACTCACTCTCCCTTATTACCTAGGCCTTACCTTACCCATTTGTTGGCTCACCCTACTAGGCCTCACCCTATTCTTTGTTAGAGGGCCTACCCCACTTCTCATCCTTGGCATCAGGTGGCAATGTGCAGTTATTTTCGGTGAGCATCCATTTGCTAACCTCCCCTTGCGATTGGAATTTGTTATTTTAAGTCCTAAATACCCTTGAAGTTGCTGCTATTTTTACCTTAATTCTCAGCTGCTCTCGCAATAAATCTGGTCTTGTCCCAGTCGCTTGAGGTCAGTGGCACAGATTAGTCTTTCTGATTACAGGCCCAGTTGGTGCAACACTCCATTTTTCCAGTCTTATGAGTCAGTCAGTCCTGGATCAATGGGCAGCTATCTCTCCTATCTCAGCCGTAAGTGACGGGTTCTAATCCGATTCCCGAGACTCGGGTATGTCAAACTGAATCATTCCAGAGAGGTACTGAGGGAGTGCTGCACTGCCAGAGACGCCCTGCACCAGAATGTTCTGATGCCTTCTCCAGTTTTAAAATATTCTGCGGCACATTTTTAAACAAAGGCAGGGTTACAGGGAAAAGGGTAGGGGGATGGGTCTGGATGGGATTCCCTTCGGAGGGATGGTGTAGACTTGTTGGGCCAAATGGCCTGTTTCCACATTGTAGGCATTCTATGATTCTATGATCTATAAGTACTCCTTGGTGCCTTTAATTAACATCTCTGAAACCAATTAATCGGTTATTTTTCTTATTGTTCGCAGGAGCTACTGAGCTCAAATTCTTTCCATTTAATACTGCAAGAAGTGATCATTCTTAAATCTGCCACTATCCTGGGCGTTACCATTGATCAGAAACTCAACTGGACGAGCCACAGTGGCTACAAGAGCTGGTCAGAGGCTAGGAATACTGTGGCGTGTAGAATTAGAATTAGAAACAGGTTTATTGTCACGTAATTCACTTTCTGACTCCTCAAAGCCTCTACAAGGCACAAGTCAGGAGTGTGATGGAATACTCCCCACTTGGCTGGATGAGTGCAGCCCCAACAACACTCAAGAAGCTTGACACTATCCAGGACAAAGCAGCCCACTTGATTGGCACCACATCCACAAGCATCCCCTCCCTCCACCACTGATGCTCAGTAGCAGCAGTGTGTACTATCTACAAGATGCACTGCAGAAATTCACCAAAGATCCTCAGACAGCACCTTCCAAACCCACCACCACTTCCATCTAGAAGAACACGGGCAGCAGATACATGGGAACACCACCCCCTGCAAGTTCCCTTTCAAGTCACACACCATCCTGAGTTGGAAATATATCGCCGTTCCTTCACTGTCGCTGGGTCAAAATCCTGGAATTCCCTCCCTAATGGCATTGCGGGTCAACCCACAGCAGGAGGACTGCAGTGGTTCAAGAAGGCAGCTCATCACCACCTTCTCAAGGGGCAACTAGGGATGGGCAAGAAATGCTGGCCAGCCAGCTACACCCACAACTGAATAAAAAAGACTTCAAAACGTTCATGGAAACATAGAAGATAGGAGCAGGAGGAGGCCATTTGGACCTTCGAGCCTGCTCTGCCATTCTTCACAATCATGGCTGATCATCCAACTCAACAGCCTAATCCTGCTTTCTCCCCATAACTTTTGACCCCATTCGCCCCAAGTGCTATATCTAGCCGCCTCTTGAATAAATTCAATGTTTTGGCATCAACTACTTCCTGTGGTAACGAATCCCACAGGCTCACCACTCTTTGGGTGAAGAAATGTCTCCTCATCTCTGTCCTAAATGGTCTACCCTGAATCCTCATACTGTGACCCCTGGTTCTGGCCACACCCACCATCAGGAACATCCTCCCTGCATCTACCCTGTCCAGTCCTGTTAGTATTTTATAAGTCTCTATGGGATCCCCCCTCATTCGTCTGAACTCCAGCGAAAACAATCCCAACCCAGTCAATCTCTCCTCATACGTCAGACCCACCATCCCCGGAATCAGCCTGGTAAACCTTCTCTGCACTGCCGCGAGAGCAAGAGCATACTTCCTCAGAAAAGGAGACCAAAACTGCACACAATATTCTCGGTGTGGCCTCACCAAAGCAGAAAGAGTAAATGACCCATCACATGGTGCAGTGATGTGATAATGGGATATATATTGTTAGGACACAGGGAGAATTTCCCTGCTCTTCCTCACATCTGGAGTCATGGAACTATTTAGCTTCACCTGTTTGAGAAAGCGGGACAGACAGGGCAAGCCAGACACATCAGACATTGCATTCTGCATGTGTCTAATCGAGGTGATATTTTAATCCACAGTCTGGTTCCCAAACAGAAGAGAAACTGAGCAAGGCAGGAGGTTAGTAAGAGGTATCACATTCACAAAAAGTGTCCTGTACCAACTTGTGGAAGAGAGCTCCATTTTATCCACACCCCTGCTCATTCCCACAAATCCTTCTCCTTCATCTCTTTATCCAAACCCCCTTAGAACATTCCTGATGAATATGCTTCCACTGCCCTATCTAGGCAGCACATTCCAAATCCCACGACTCGCTGAGTGAGACAGATCCCTCATTTCATTTCAGACTCCTTTCTCTTCAATCAGTGGTGTTCTCTGCTGATCATCTTCCTAGTGGAACCCACTTCTCCAATCTCTCAAAACCTCTCTGCTTAATCTCCCCTTAAACTTCTCTGCTCCACGGAGAACAATGTCATCCTCCCAGTCCGTAAAACAATAGCAGCGGGACTAGGCCATTCGGCCCCTCGAGCCTGCTCCACCATTCAATGGGATCACGGCTGATCCAACATTCCTCACACCCATTTTCCTGCTTTTTTCCCGATAAGCCTTGATCCCCTGACTGATAAAGAATCCATCTATTTCAGCCTTAAATGTACACAAGGACTCTATCCCTATAGCTCTCTGTGGCAAGGAATTCCAAAGGCTCAGAATCCTCTGAGAGAAGAAATTCCTCCTCATCTCAGTCTTAAATTGGTGCCCCTTTATTCTGAGAATCTCAGCATATCTGGTCATATTTTAGAATTTCCTGATCATCTCCTCTGTTCCCTCTTCAAGGACATGGCATCCTGCCTGATGTTTGGCTTCCAGAATTAAACAACTTTCCGGCACTAGACACTTGGAACTGTTGCGCAAAAACTTCTTTATTTTTGTACTCAACGCCGCTAATTATAAGTCAGTGACTCCTGCCTGTTTCTCAACTCAAACCAGTCACCTTCAAAGACATGTGTCAGGACAATCTGACAGTCAATATGCAATGGAGCAGCTGCGATCGCATTGCGTAAGCTTGAGTGCGACAGGGACTGGGTGCAAATGCAAACAGTGAACACAATGGGTGAGGGGTGTACGGGACTAGTTGAGAGTTAAAACAGAGATTTGGATTCTGAATCCAGGCTTTGACAGAGGGCAAGATGGATCAGAAACTAGCTAATGGCAAGAAGGTTATAGCATTTGAGAACCTAGAAATTATCATTATCACTAAGGAGGCAGTGCTGGGCAAGCTAATGGGGCTAAAGGTAGAAAAGTCTCCTGGCCCTGATGAAATGCATCCCAGGGTACGAAAAGAGGTGATGGGAGGAAATAGCAAATGCACTAGTAATTATTTACCAAAATTCACTGGACTCTGGGGTGGTTCCCACAGATTGGAAAACAGCCAATGTGACGCCACTGTTTAAAAAAGGAAGTAGACAAAAAGCAGGTAACTATAG